GATTGTTATTAAGAAATGGAGCTCGGTTTTCGAACAATTCCGAGAGAGCGACGTCGCACAATGTACAGATTGCAGAACGATCTCCAGACGGTCCACGGCGTGTCCAGGCAACGACAGTTCGCGGGAATTTCCCCAAGGCCGCGAGAATGTTGAAAATTCGTTGACCAGCGAAACAGAAATGCAGCGGGCAGCGCGGCGGGTTGTGACAGCAGGTGTCCGTTTCAATTTACTTATCGCGTCGGACGACGCTGTCCGCGTTTAATCCCATCGCGGTGGAGACCGGTCCCGAAGAAAAAAAGAAGAAAAGGAAACCAGACCGACAAAACCCTTTCGAAAACGTGGCCCATTGTGCGGCCCGACCCTTCCCGCCCGCGCTCCCCCGACGCTTTTCTTTTTCGGTAAACTTCCGAACCCGCTCCGTTCCATTTCTTTATCAACATTTCACTCGATTCTTTTCCGCAACCGCGATCCGCTTTCTCTTCTTTTTCTCTCTCCATCCTCCCTTTTTACCCTGTTTCCCACCGCCGACCCGTGTCCCGCTTTCGTTTCATCCTTTTGCAACCCTTTCTTCTTTGGTTTCGTCGCCCTAACATTTATCTCGGCGTTTTGTATTAATTAATCGTTCCTGCTGTACCGTGCACGGCTCTCTTCTCTCTCTCGCTCTCTCTCGTTCCTTTTGCCGGCGCGCTTCTTCCGGCTTCACGTGCCGCGCGGTCCGCGTCTTCGTTTTCTGCGGATTAATCGTCGTTCCCCTGTGTCGGACATTTTGTTCTTCGGGGATCCCAGCTCGTTTCTTTGGAAACTAGCGCGCGTGTTTTTTCCCCCGTTTTCTCGCAATCCGTCGCGTTCGCTTTATTTTTCGAGCGCTTCTCGCGCGGTTTCTGCACTTCTTGCGAAGAGAAATCGCTGTCCCGTCCCGGCTTTCCGAACCGATAAGACCAGCCGGTTGCAACGACGGCGAGCCTCCGTTATCCGAACGGTCTTCTTCCACCGCGAGTACCCGATAAGGGAACCTCCGCTTTTCTCGAACTGCAAATATCATTATTATTAATTAAGCGCGCTTCTTGCGACGATCTACGTTCTCTCTGTCGTCTAGCTTAGCCGCCGCCGTCGCGTCGTTTCGAACACGATTTTTCCCGTCCCCCGCAATTCCGGTTGCGCTCCCGCTTTACTTAATTAACTTCCTTCGCAACTGCGAATAATTTTTCAGGTTATTTGCCGGCATCCTTTGGTTCTTCGCTTCTTCCTCCGCGTCTTCGAACTTTTTAATACTTCGAGCCTTCTTCCAGCTTTATATTAATTAATCATCTTTCCTCATTCGTTATCTGGCTTCGTGCCCGTACTTACGGGACACTTTCATTTTGTTACTTTTTAAGTGATCGACGATGCCATCGGCTTCGCTGATCGATGCGTTTCCTCCAAAATTTCTAGCGTAACTTGCGTCGATCACATTCTTGTATTCGATAGAATGTTTTCACAGTTTCATGCTTGACCTAATCATTATTAATTCTGCTGGTCTAAATATAATATAATATGACACGTTTTTCTGTTCTGTATTGTAAAAATGTTGATCATTCGTGAACATAAATAAAATATAATGAAAATATATAATAAAATCTAAATAAAATCTAAACAAAATAGCGTTTATTTTATATGCAAATACGTAACGAAATTAAGCGAATGAATAAATAATCGCGAGAAACGCGCGAAATCAGCGGTGCGCTCGCAATCGACAGTTCCAATTCCGCGCGAGACATAATCGCGCAATGATCCCAGGGTCCCCACCGCGAAGACTATAATTTACAAGCGCATTAAAATGAGACCTCGGGGCCGCGAGAGCAGAGAGCGACGAAGCCGCGGCGAGCGAAACTTTTGTCCCGAAATTGACTGGGATCCGCGAGTACATATCGAGAGCTCGATCCCGTCCCCGGTAAACACACAGAAAAATTTCAATTTCCAGCTAACAAACCGGTCGCCTCCCCAGCATCCAGCCCGCCCCTTTAACCGGAGGGCGTCTGCGCCCGGCCCTCGAGAGCATGCTCGTCGCCGGGCTACCAGAAATTTCCCATCAAACCCGCATTTACACCTTCAATCTGAGAGAAGGCCGGATCCCTTAATACCAGCCCGAGTAGCGGGCCCGGGGCAGGGAAGAGTGCAAGGGGTGGAAAAAGCCGTCTCGTCGCGTCGCGTCTCGTCGAGTCTCGACGCGTCGCCTCGGCCCGATTTCGCCGATGAAGCTCCGGCCGCGATTCCAACCCTCCCCTTTTGTTCCCCGATTGAATGGTAGGCTCGATATCAATTGAAACGTTCCCGACTGCGACTCCATCGGCTCGACCAACAGAAAATTTTTAATGAAAGTCACGAGGGTGGTGCATAAATGTAACGGCGGATCCTCCGAGGGGAAAGTAAGACGACTTAGACTCGGGGCGACCAAACCTCTGGGACGAGGGCAGAGAAACCGAGATGAAAGGAGAGCAAGAAAAGGAAGAGAGAGAGAGAGAGAGAGAGAGATGTTGGAGAATGACACTTTATGATGTAATATTCTCGATATCGTCGCAGTCTCGTTTCTATTGTTCGCAGAACAGATTTCATATTTTTGCCAACCCCTTCGGACTAAGATTTCTTCCACCCCTGTGAATATTAACACTCGTTTGTCGCTAATAAATGTCCACGTGAGACAGTCAAATTTATACGCATTGTACGCCAACCTTTACTTAAATGTTTAGATATCGATAATACAAGGATAGAATTTTTTAAAACACTTTTTACAACTTTTTAAAATCTAAACTTTGTTAATGTAAGAATTATCTTGGAACGTGATACAACAATTTTAGCGGTGCTTCAGAGTCACCACTCGAGTGCAAAGGGTTGATGTAAAAAGAGCCGCGAGGCCCGAAGAATCGTGTCTTAGTATTCTCGGATTTGCCAGTTCCAATCCCGACCACCGAGCATTTCTGGGAGAAATTACTATACCTGATGCCACTGTATTGTTATTTGTCGCTGAATTGTGTTCAATCTACAACTCAACAGTGAGAAGAGTATATATAGAAAAGACGTGGCGATAGAGACGAAGAGGAGAGAAAGAGAGACGAGACGAGAGGAGAGGAGAGAAGGAGAGAATTCGAGAGGCAGAGCCGGGTAATCTCTGACATCTTGTTACAGGGACCGGGGGAGGGCATAAGANAGAGAGAGAGAGAGATGTTGGAGAATGACACTTTATGATGTAATATTCTCGATATCGTCGCAGTCTCGTTTCTATTGTTCGCAGAACAGATTTCATATTTTTGCCAACCCCTTCGGACTAAGATTTCTTCCACCCCTGTGAATATTAACACTCGTTTGTCGCTAATAAATGTCCACGTGAGACAGTCAAATTTATACGCATTGTACGCCAACCTTTACTTAAATGTTTAGATATCGATAATACAAGGATAGAATTTTTTAAAACACTTTTTACAACTTTTTAAAATCTAAACTTTGTTAATGTAAGAATTATCTTGGAACGTGATACAACAATTTTAGCGGTGCTTCAGAGTCACCACTCGAGTGCAAAGGGTTGATGTAAAAAGAGCCGCGAGGCCCGAAGAATCGTGTCTTAGTATTCTCGGATTTGCCAGTTCCAATCCCGACCACCGAGCATTTCTGGGAGAAATTACTATACCTGATGCCACTGTATTGTTATTTGTCGCTGAATTGTGTTCAATCTACAACTCAACAGTGAGAAGAGTATATATAGAAAAGACGTGGCGATAGAGACGAAGAGGAGAGAAAGAGAGACGAGACGAGAGGAGAGGAGAGAAGGAGAGAATTCGAGAGGCAGAGCCGGGTAATCTCTGACATCTTGTTACAGGGACCGGGGGAGGGCATAAGAAAGAAGCGGCCGGGCGCAGCGGGAGGGGCGGGGAGAGGAGCGGACGAGAGACCTCTTCGTGGCCGCGTTCAATTAAAGCGTCACCTCGCGGAGGAAACTTTTATATGAATGGTTTTCATTACGTCGCGGACTTATTAAAGCCGTCTTCGCGCGAGCATTAATATCCCTCGTCCAGACGAGTTTTGTTATCAGCCCGACCCATTCAGCCGGCCGTGCTACCCTGGATACGTAATAGGCGGTTTTATCATTCCCGACAAGGCTGGCGGCGAGACGCCAACTAAACGGTGCCCGTCCCTCGGTCGACCCCGCGAATTAACGAACAATTTGCCGGTGACAATGTCCGCATTGTTGAACGGTAGCTCCGGGAGCTCCTGAGACGGTTACCTTCGAGGCAAGCTTTTTTGGACGCCCGTTTCCGTCGTCTGCGTACGGGACGCCGACTTTATTCCTCTCGAGTCGCGGCGGTTCAGATAGAACGTGTCTTTGTCGTACTGTGTACCACGCTCTGTGATTCCTTGAACAATTCTTTGTGCTCCATTAGAGAGACAATAATCGGCCCCGAATGTCTATTGTTCGCAAATTATTACAGCAACGTAAAGATTTGTGCTAAGAAGCTAAATAGTGTTGTGATCATCGAGAATCTTATTGTCATTCATTCCTGTATCGATTTTGGCAATAGAATGTTAATAGAATAAATAATAATTCGTGCATCTTTTGAGACATTAAGTCGTGTCACACGTGATGTACAATAGAGACTCCCCTATTCGAACATTTATTTTTACAATATTCTGGCACCCAAATCTAATCATTGTATGCATCCCAATATAAATATTGTATCTAATCACTGTATTATTTAGATGTATTATCATCTAGTAGAGAACTAGATTTATTATATTATATTATATTAAATATTATATTATATATTATATTATATATATTATATTATAGAACCAAATTTTTTAGATAACGTAACGTTTCGGTATCAGAATATTAGAAAAATAAACCTTAAGGTGGAAGAGTCTCTGCGATATTTATATTCTCAAAATGAAATGACAAGAGACGATAAACCAGTTCAAATATCGACTCGCACCATTTTTTTGCTAAAAAACTGAAACGTCGAGCAACTTACCCGACGCTGTTCTTCTAAGTCCAACTGGAAGTCGATGCACGCTTTGGTCGCGTGCAAAGATTATTGTCTTGCTTGCGAGTCCTCGAGATCCAAAGCCCTGAAACGAGAGCGAGAAGACAACCCGTCAGAAGAACAATGGAAACGCGAAGGAACACGGTAAAATATTTTGAAAATGTTTCACGATGACGGGAGGGGTACGCGATCCGCGGATATATTTGTAAGAAAAATATTGCGATGGTAAATCAGAGGGCAGCAACGAGCAATTCCGAGCGGTGACAGAGAGGCGTCGGAGGAAAAACCCCGGTCGGATTGGAAAATAAAATATATTCCCATCCACACTCGCGGCACGATAGTAGCATAAAATGTCACGCGCCGTTTCATTCTTAAGATTTAAGCGGTCATAAACTTTAGATAGGATATCCGCCACTGCAACCCGCATACGGAGCACGCGGCAATATCGCGGAATCTTACATTTCCTAGCGTGTACACATAATCTCGGGCATCCATCATATATAGGCTTGCACGAACGCTGCTGCATTATTTCCTTCTTCTTTTTTTTTGCAACAATTTTTCATAGGAACGAGCGAAAATCCTGAACCCCATCGAAATAATCTGCCCTTTAACTAACGGAAAATAATTAGTTCCATATAAAATCGCAATTTAGCAAGATGAAAAATTGCAAGCGATTATTCTCTCCTTCGATAATAACCGACTAAATAATGACAAATTCAGTAAAGATCGTATTTTTACTATTTTATGCACCAGCTAAGAATAAAATGCGATGAACGGTTCATCAAAAATTAGATCAACGCATCTATTCGCACATTGTGTTACAAGGCCTACCAAGATATATCAAATATTTTCAAGAAAATTACCGTACCAGTACTTTTTTTTAAATTAATAAAACGTTCAATATTTCTCACGTTTAAGAGGGGTTCCATAACGCGGATCGTTACGATTACGATCGCTTCTCCGCGCTCGCGAAGTTCCAGATTAAATCGTCGCGATAAGTAGGGCTGCATTTTAGTGTCAATTTCTATTTACGCGTCCATAGCGCGCGGATTAACAGACAACAATGTAAATAACAGCGACGATTTTTTTATGAAACTCGATATAAAATAAATGTCACGTAAAGAACGTGGCTCGGGGCGTATAGCCTCGTTCTAAAGCCTCGCTTTGATGTTCTTGTAATGGAAATTTTACGACGCTACAATAAGAATTTTTATACCGCCCCGGCGTAACAAGATCTTTCACTTTTAATAATAATCCGTCGCGCCAGAACACCAGAAGAAGCATGCATAAATAGAAATCCTTTTGTAGCTGCACTTCGGCTCGCAGATTCATTCGCGCGCCCCTCGACTACGTCGCAATCCCAATGGAAAACGCGAGAGAAAAACCTTAAAATTCGATACGCAACATTTTGATTACGATTGCGCGCGACAGATACGCGAAACGGCTGCTCCGAACGAATGGCTAAAATGCCTAAAACACGAAAATCGATCGTTCGGAAGCCGCGAATTATTAGCACGTCCGCTGGCTTTACCGTCGCGCCACGATTTATGATCAATCGTGTTCGAAGCGATTTCGCGGCGACAACTCAATTTCTAAGGTGCCGGCCCCGACGTCACGATTACAGCACACCCAGCGCATCGCAAAACACCTAAAACTGTAATAGCCGACATTTCCTGGCGGCGCTGTGTTAATAGCGACGAGCCGGCTTATTGCCGGCAACAGCTTTCTCATCGGGCGAAATAAGTGTCCTAATAGTTCGGGGCCGTAGTTGGCGCCTTATAAAAGAGCGAAACAAGCGCCGGGACACATTCGACTTGTCCATAAACACCGATACCGTTATCGGGAGCAGAACCTCCATCCGGTTGGCCATTTCCTTGATGCTCGGTTCGCCACTTAGCGTTTCTGCCGCTCCGTATTACCCGGCTCCGTTAATGCTCGCAGATACATGGGCGCTTCGTTCGCCGGGCCGCGCCGGGTACACCGTGTTCGCAGTATTGTTTCGCGAGTCCGCGTTGCTTTGTCGAGAAATCCTGTTACCCGCGCATTTAGTCCCAGGGCTCCACCAGCACTTTCTTTCTTCCCATTTCCGAAGCGGCTTCGTTGCTTCGGATTTTCAACCCTTGTTCCGTTGTAATTGAACCAGCGCAGCGTACCGCCGCGCCGCGCCGTTTCCGCGACGCTGCGTTTTGAATAACGATTCGAGATATCGTGCCACCGCGTCGGATCACCGAGTCTCGATGCCGCGATTGCTCAGGAGAACGTGCAATTATCGAATAAGTGGATGTTAGCTATCTATTTGCTTATGAAGCGGTTACGTACCTGATAGGATTTCTTGTGAGCGGATTTGCCAGTTCAAGAAATTATAAAATCGCTAATGCTGATAATAACACTAATTAATAATGCTATTAATTAATACTGATTAATAGTAATGCTATTAATTAATACTGATTAATAGTAATGCTATTAATTAATACTGATTAATAGTAATGCTATTAATTAATACTGATTAATAGTAATGCTATTAATTAATACTGATTAATAGTAATGCTATTAATTAATACTGATTAATAGTAATGCTATTAATTAATACTGATTAATAGTAATGCTATTAATTAATACTGATTAATAGTAATGCTATTAATTAATACTGATTAATAGTAATGCTATTAATTAATACTGATTAATAGTAATGCTATTAATTAATACTGATTAATAGTAATGCTATTAATTAATACTGATTAATAGTAATGCTATTAATTAATACTGATTAATAGTAATGCTATTAATTAATACTGATTAATAGTAATGCTATTAATTAATACTGATTAATAGTAATGCTATTAATTAATACTGATTAATAGTAATGCTATTAATTAATACTGATTAATAGTAATGCTATTAATTAATACTGATTAATAGTAATGCTATTAATTAATACTGATTAATAGTAATGCTATTAATTAATACTGATTAATAGTAATGCTATTAATTAATACTGATTAATAGTAATGCTATTAATTAATACTGATTAATAGTAATGCTATTAATTAATACTGATTAATAGTAATGCTATTAATTAATACTGATTAATAGTAATGCTATTAATTAATACTGATTAATAGTAATACTATTAATAATAATACTAATAATACTAAAAATAATAATACTAATAGTCAATACTAATAATATTACTGACACTAATAATATCACTAATACTTATAATATCACCGATCTAATAAAATTAATAATATTAGTGACAATATTCCCCCTTAACTATCAATTAGCGAGACCTGCTCTCTATTATCCCCGTATCACAACCAAACCACCATCGAAGGAAATAAAATTAATTCAATTATTCAATCGTATTTGTAAGGTATTTCTTTCACGAGAGTGTATTTATACGAAACATTGAAATGGGAATAATGGTAAGGATTACTCTGTTCTTATATTATAGTTACCTGGAAGCCGCGTAAAATGTTTTATGAAAGCGGTAATTCGCGGCAACATCTCTGCCGGGTGCTCATAAATTGCGAACGGGAAGCACGTGCATTTTTTCGGTTAAGAAATAGAGGAAGGCGATCGGTTGCCATTGCACGACTCCTGGAATTATACTCGGAATTCCCATATTATTGCTTCCCCAATGACCTACACAACCTGCATTATCGATATTCATCGATCACATTACCGTTAGCGGTACCTCTATGGGAAACTGACCCGTAAAACCGCGATGCACGCCAGAAATGGGAAAATTTCTCTACCCGAGGTAAGTACCTCCGGACATTGTAGAAAATTTACAGAGTAGAGGCTGCCTTCCGGCGCGATTTAGATTTATTATCAGCGACACTGTTTCTCGCTTTAAATAACGGAGCCACGTCGTTTCGTCTTCGATAAAAAGAATACTAATGAATTTGAACACAACGTTCAATTACTCCTACAAATTAATGTCGCAAGAATTTATTTAATTCTTGAAGCAGCCATTGACGGAGAAGAGACTATAAAATATCGTGCAACTAATTATAAACTTAGATGTCTTTTAATTATAAATCGACAAATGTATTTTAATGTAGTCCAATTATATTGAATTAATTATATTAAAGTATTATATTATAGTAATTATAGCGATTTAATTATATTAAATTACAGACGTAAATTGCGTTATCCCCGTGAAAAGTAATGTTTGTTACGATTATAATGAAATAAATTGAATAAGTAAATTCTGTACACATCTACGGTACCAAGTAAAATCAACAAATAGCAAAAATTCGTGAATCCGTTATCTCGGACAGCAAACTTCGCGGATAACGCGAAACTGCGCCGGCACCAAAGAACCGGCGTCATTAACAATGTAAAAACAGAAGAACAAAACGAATAACAGCCTACTCGAATCACGCGATAATAACGTTCTAAATTCGGTCTCGCCGGTGCATTCGCCATCCATTAATGAACGCCCGCAGTCTAGACGTCAATTACGAGTTTCTTCCAGCAGCGGCTCGCATAAAATTAGTTCCATCGAATCCTTAATTAAGGGAAGCGGCGATTCGGAGGAGATGCTATAGTAACGGTTTTATTTTTACCGGGTCTCGCGTGCTTTTCACACGGGGGAACCGCGAGGATCCCGCGGTTCGTGTACGAACTGTCCCTCGAATTAGCAGTTAAATTCTAGCGGGCCGCCCTCCGCTCCTCCTCGCCGTCCACCGGCGAACAGGTAAACCCGACCGAAGAAGCAAACAAATTCTTCTATAATCTCGCGGACGGTAAAAAAGTCACGGCTCTATCGTAAAGCTCGAACCGCATCGTAATCCCGGAACAGCTTCTCGGTGCGCGCATCCATCGTGATCCAGCCTGGCATGGCACGGCACGGCACGGCAGCGGCCTGCCACTTCCAAGCTTTCTCGCCGAGCCATTTTCGCCGTGAAATTATAAACGTCGGTGTGCGCATGCATTTTATACGAGGCCGCGCGAAACTGCAGTTACTTGATCCGCGAGCTTGCTTAAGGGATGCGACTCGCGCGAGCGACGACGAGCGAGCGAGCGCGCGTGCGGCGGGCCCGCAATTTTTCATTACGCGCGGCCAAAGAAAAACAA